CCCCCCACCCCCCCCCCCGCCCGCCCTCACCTGCGGCAGGCTGCGCGGCTGAGCCCGAGGAGCCGCTCCGAGGCATGAATTGTTCTGGGCGTCTCTGCCGGGGCGAGCCTGCAGCTGGCGAGACGCGCAGCTCCCCCGGGGACGCCCCCGAAGCCGCGCGCTGCTCGCTCCCGTCCCATTCAGCGCGGTGCCCGGCGCCCCGCTAGCCTGAGAGCTGGGGTAGCCCTCCTAAGCCGCACAGGAACTGACATCATCGGCCCCGCGCTTTTAACCCCTTCTCTGGCCTGTGGGGCGGCAGCCCGGCCAGGCGGGTTCTCCAGTGGAAGCGCTGGGAGGCTCCAGTGAGGACTGAAATAGTGACAAGCCGGGATTGGACCCAGCCTTCAGCCCTCCCCAACACCAGACCCAGGGACTCTCTGGCATTTTGGGGGGCTAGGGGAAAACACTATTGTGTAGATATGAAGAAAACAGGCCACTGCTTTATGTGGACCCCAATAACTGGGGCTCAGCCATAGTGTTCCCTCTAGTTTTTCCATCCCTGTGCAGAATAAGTTTTGTTATGTGCACGGAGCCATGTGCGGAGCACCAGTAGAAAATCTAGTCAGCATTTGGATCTGTCCTTGGTGGTTCCCCAAGCACTGAGCTTACAGGGAACACTGCTCAGCCACTCCTGATTGCTTCTTTTGCCACCTATTTGGACAGGCTCTTTTTATTGGGACTCCAGTCTATGCAAATTGACCCACACTGCACTTCCAACTGCGGCTCAGCCAACTGTCCTGAGGCTGTTTTGGAGGCTGCTAGGCAAGCCAGGGAACAATCTCTGACCAAGCAGGCATGGCTGGAGGGCAGACTCCTTGCACCTTTTACACTGGGAAATAAATCCTTCGTTGATTCCTTGACTGACCAGCGCATCCTATCCAACCTCAGCAGCATAAAGACTTTCATCCATAACAGGAGCAGTTCCTAAACAGTGAGTGCACTGCAGCCAGCCCCTTCAACCTAAATAGTTTCTGTGCTGGATCTTGGCTGGTCACCCCAGCTCATCTCCCATTCAGTTGTGTGCACAATTACCTACAGTGCAAGTGGGGCACTAGCCTCATCCAAACTTCCATGCCTCATTGCAGGTTACTGTACTCAAGTGAGCATGGTAGGGATCAGTAGGATGCTGACATCTAGCAAAGAGGTAGTAGCTTGAGTTCAGGCAGTGTTAAGGTGCAAGGGAAGAGGATGAGGTTAAAGTTGCTGGGTGTTATAGCAGAAGTCTACTTCTGGTTAACAATCCATTAGAGGAGCCTACCCTCCTTGTATGCTCAAGCCATCTGCAACAATGCTTATATAAAGCCTGGGGAACAAAAGTTCATGCTTTCCGAAGTTTTTAAGGGTGTCCACTCTAACATGCCAAATGTTTTATTGCAGTAGGTGGACATTAGCAGCCACCTCTTCAGATTTATAGAACATACTTGCTGGATACTATGGCAGGATATGTTACTGAAACACAGCTAGAAGGCTAGCTCTCTAAGGGTGCATCTACACTGCACCATAACTCAAAATAAGATACAAAATTTACATAGCTCAAATTGTGTATCTTATTTCAATGCTATTTTGAAATAGCGCCAAATGACAAAATAAGCTGTCTACACAGCACCAAATTTCAAAATAAAGCGCTATTCCGAAATGTTCCTTACTCCTCATAGAATGAGGCTTACAGGGACATTGAAATAGTGAGCCAGAAATAATGGACTTACTGTGAAGATGCAGGTTAGCTATTTTGGATGCTCCGGTGTCCTGAAATAGTGTTGCAGCGTAGACATACCCTAACCTCCCTCAGCTTCTTGCTGAGATGTGTGTGTCTGTGTGCTGCATGCTACTGCCAGCTGCAGGAGAGACTATACAATTAGACTTCTTTGTATGCTTCTAGGGCAGTGGTGGGCAGCCTGTGGCCTATCAGGGTAATCTGATTGTGGGCTGTGAGACATTTTGCTGATGTTGACTGTTAACAGGCACCACCTCTTGCAGCTCCCAATGGCCATGGTTCGCCATTCCCAGCCAATGAGAGCTGTGGAAAGCCAACATGTCCCTTCAGTCCCCTTGCCCGTAGGCACTGCCTTCACAGCTCCTATTGGCCAGGTCTGGCAAACCACAGCCACTGGAAGCTTCAGGGGATGGTGCCTTTGGACAGTCAACATCAGCAAAATGTTTTGTGGCCCCTCAGTCAGATTACCCTGATGGGGTGCAGATTGCCCACCATTGTTCTATGATTTGTCTTGTGCAGAAAGTAAAACTAGATTGTCGTAAAGGTCTCCTTCTGGTCTTAAACTCTATGAACCTGGGCTAGGGTGACAAAAAGAAATACCTTGGTCACATGACAGGCTCAGTATGCAGTGACTCCACATTGCTACCTTTAAATCTTCCCTTAAAAAAAGCAAATTGACATAAAATACAATAGCAACAAAAATTACACAAACTAATACTGACTTCTGGGTGTGAACCTCAATGGCTTTTTGATACTGTGGCCATTTGATCTTGTTTTTACATCAGTTCCTCTTGCAGGGATATGTTTATTCAATGACATGGATCTGCTATTAGGTCTGGGGTTGCTGTTTCCTGTGCTTTTCACAGTCAACAATGAGGTGGGTCTATGTTACTTCTGTTAGCATAGAAGCACTGTCAGGATATCCAAAAAAAAGGAAAAAACAATGTCCTTCTAGATTTTGTGTAGCTGTTTTCTGTTCCCCATGTCGGGATGGTTATAACATATGCCCTGGGTGAGAACGGTACAGCTGTTAATTTGTCAGGTTGATAGTGACATTCGGTTAGGAATTTAACATCCTTTCCCATTTGCAGTGGGAATAATTGCTTGACGTAAAGGTAGCAGTATTTCATTAGTTCTCATTTCCTGGAATATAGCTTTTTAAAACATTACTTCAGGCTTTAGCTCAAGAACTTGTTAGAGGGTGGCACCAATATATTTTGTCCTTCTGCTCATGTATCTCTGAAATGGTGAGTTGTGATAGTCTAACAATACTAAATATGGATCCCTTAGATTAGCTGGGGGAGGGGAGTGTTGTTTTTATTAAGTTATTTGCTGGTTATATTGAATTTTATTTTCTGCTAACTGATATATCTTTGGCTTGAAAGGGCTTGCTGTAATGTTTCTGGACTGATGTATCAAAGATAGTTGCAGAACCAAGTTACTTGTGGGTCATTTCCTGCTCTTGACTTCTCCCAAATACCTTGCTCAACAAACTGCAATTTATTATTATTGCTATTAATGTTTTAATGGAGGCAACATTTTAAGGTTCAATGGGCCGCAGTCTTACAGGATTCCCATGTTAGAGAAATGGCAGCTCAGGAGTCTGTGTGGTGAGTTATGGTAAGTTTCAGTACTCAAGGAGTTAAAGCACCAAGGCTGGGTGTGTATAGGCAGTTGCTTTGTATAAAGTTTGGTGGCTGAAGAATGTCCTGGGAGTCATGCTTTACTGCCTGGGAAGAACAGTGGGCCAAATTCTCATTACAACTCTACTGGTTTCCCTGGTGTAAATGACAGAGAATTTGTCCCAATGACTTTGAAGAGAGAACAAAAATCTCTCATAAAATCCTGGCTAAGAGACTGACACACACTGGTGGCTCACAATCCGGTGGAGACATTTCCTGGTTGAGAAACATGAGGAAGAGGACAGTGGAGTCATAAAGAAATAGCTGTTATACATCCCTTATTTGTGGTCAGCCTCTCCTCAGAAGTGCTTGTATTGACTTATCAAAAGAGAATTGTTGAACCAAGCCATTCAGCAGTGGGCCATTACCTGTTCTTCTCTACTCACAAATCCCATGCTGAACAAATTGTTATAGCTCAGTTAGAAGTTATAGCCATGATGCAGAAATTACTGCGTGAGTTTCTATGGTCAGTATTGTGCAGAATGTCAGACTAGATCTTAAAGGTCTCCTTCTGGTCTTTTTTAAACTATATGAATCTGGGTCAGGGAGACAAAAATAAATACCTTAGTCACAAGAAGTTCCTTTCTCCCCTAAAAGGAAACCCTTTGGGGAATTCTTAGGCACCTTGGCACTGGTTACTTATTACAACACTTTAACCTACAGGAATAATGATTAACATAAACACAGTGTTAGCAACCAGAGTGCCTCTAGGTACTGTTGGCAGCAGATGTGGGAATCACTGGGGCTGTGTCCAGACTCAGGGGTTTTTTCGAAAAAAGTAGCCTTTTTTCGAAAAAACCTCACCTGCGTCTAGACTGCAGCCACGTTCTTTCGAAATTAAATCGAAAGAACGCGGCTTTTCTTTCGATGGCGGTAAACCTCAATTTACGAGGAAGAACGCCTTCTTTCGAAAGTTCCTCTTTCGAAAGAAGGCGTTCTTGAATGTAAATAGGGCTTCTTCGAAAGAGAGCATCCAGACTCACTGGATGCTTTCTTTCGAAAAAGCAAGCCGCTTTTTCGAAAGTTCAACGTGCAGTCTAGACGCTCTCTTTCGAAAGAGGCTATTTCGAAAGTATCTTTCGAAAGAGCCTCTTTCGAAAGAGGCTTGCAGTCTAGACATAGCCTGGGAGAATGTCTTTGGACAGAAAGTTGTAATATCACCATTATCAGGTCCTTCTCTGCACAAAATCCTGCCTGTCTCTGCCCTCACTTTCTATCTTTTGCCAGTTCCTTGCCCACCTCTGCCCAATTCTCTGCCTGTCTCATCCCAGCTTCCTTCCCAGCTTCCTCATGCACCACTGGTTCATTGTGAGTCTTTCTGGTGTAGCAGGACAGGCTTCCTGATTCAGTTAATATGCAGAATGCCCCTTGAAATCCAGAAAATTTGGTAAGTCTGAAGTCAATGGGAACAGCTAGATTCTTAACCCCTTTTAAAAATCAAATTTATTTAGGTGCCAAAGTATGGATTTAGGAACTTAACTTTAGGCGTCCAAGTTTGAAAATCTTGGCCTAATATTATTTTAATATGTTATTGATTTCATCACACAATCAGCCTGTGACAGCCTTGCCCCCTTTCCTACCCTGGAGGAAGGGGGATGGGAAGCTGCGAGTCCATCACGACCTGACCTGCCCACGTCGTGCCCGTCCTGGGATGTCAGGTCTTCTATACGTGAGGTTCTCTAGCCCCTCACCGTTGGGTACTCCTCGTCTGACATGTTCCCCCCTTGCAGAAGGGGGGAAAAGGGAGGCCCGGGCCCGCCCTCACTCAAGGGCCCCAGCCCAGGGCCCTAAGGACTCAGGCTGCCTGCTAGTCTGGGTCCGGCTGACGGGGGTGTGCCCCTAAACGCATCAGCCCACGGGCTTCCTCACCGCCCTGCCCTGGGCTCCTTCCTTTTCCCCCTTCCGTGGTCCTTACCCCGGTGGCGTCGGGTCTCAGCAGGGCAACGGCTCGGGGTACGTCAATGTC